TTTAGAGACAATGTTCTTCAAGTTTTATTCATCACAAAGTTCATTACACAAAAATTTGTAAATTAATCAAAAGTATTAAAAAAAGTAGAGATGTACCGAAGCTAAAATTTTGCCGAAGCCGAAGCTTCGGCCGAAGCCACTTTGCCGAAGCTTCGGCACTATATATGCCTAAAATTTAATCAGCATTTAGATCAGCAGGGATGTAAAACAAAAAAGGTACCAAAACTGAGGTCCTTGACTATTAATATAGAAAAATCGTATAAAAATGAAGACGCCAGTCAGGGTTGCTGTCCCAGGCAGGGCAAAAGTTCTCAGCGCCTCTGTTTGAAAGTTTCTCATTATCTCGTTTCTGATAATTGACTGCACCGAGCGTTTTTTTTTTAAACTTAAGCTTTTTTGAAACATTCTCCCCAAATTTTCCTACTTCTAGTTCTATTTTTACTGTGTGCAAACCATATTAATGTTATATAGCATCTTTTCATCTACTGTATATTTTATTTTTATTTTTAATGCACCTTTTGTTAATAGAAGTGGATAAAAATCTCTGAACATTACTAGAGTAAATTTATCTTTTGCACTTGATCACTCTTTCTTTAAATAAACACTCTTAGCTGATCTAGTTGTATCTACAACATAAAAATCTTACAAACACACTTTATCTTTTAATTGCTATTTATTTCAATATCTTTTTTTTACTTCTCTGTATTCATTAAACGAACAATTTCCAAACCAAAAAAAAACCAAATTAAGACCATTTTTTATTCCACTATAACTGTTGTGAACCTGCTGCTAAAAAAAAGTACAAATGATAGATTTCTCTCTGACTTCATTTTTACACACTTTTAAGTTTTTTTTTTTTTTGATTATTTTTAACTTTACACTACATAACATTTCTTTAGCTTCTTTTAATCTTTTACACTCTGAAATCTTACTATTCATTCTTCTTCTGTCTCTGTAATGGATAAATCTGCATCAGTATCTGAAATCAAGTATTAACTATCTGTGATAAAAGCTTCCATAGTAATCTAACAACTCTGTTGAGTGAGTTTTAAATAAAATAATAAATAGAATACTTTATAAATTTTTCATATATAATTATATTATTATTTACTTTATATTTATGAATAAACAGGGACTGAGCAGGCTGATATTTATTTGATTTAAATTGATTATTTAATTTAAATAAATTTTGATGATAAATATAAGAGCTTAAAGTAATCAAAGCTTCAACCTTTAATTTATTTTAAATAAAATTTAAAAGTCTTCATAATATCATAAGAAGAAACCAGAATATAGGTTTACATATTTAATATCTAAATTCAATTTAGAAGTATTCATAATGTTAATAAAAGAGCAAGGATAATTATTATCATTGTTTTTCTTTTTCTTTTAATTTATCTAGTTTTAGTTGACTTTTTTTTTCTTTTTTTATTCTTCTCATTTATATTTCATTTGCTTTTCTTCCTTTTTTGTTGTTGAGAACCTTATGTTTTTTATGTTTCACTCCTTTGACTAGTTTGTATCTATATAAGTGACATCTAACTAATTTCTGTAAATTTACGATGAAAATTTGTAAATTTTTATTAATATGGTTAAATAAAATTTAAAAAAATTAAACATACACACAATTTAAAATAGTAGCAATGTATCTTTAATCTTCTTTAAAGTGAGATTACTACGGTTTATAGGTCAAATGTTGAAACTAAACTTTGTTCTATTTGCGGTAATCCCACACAATAATGAATATGAATTTGTTACATAATAAAAATTAAGTTTTTTTTTCCATTTTATTTTAAAAAAAATTTTAATTTGTTTTAAATTATAAGGTTTTTATTCTGCATAGAAATGCTGATTCAGTTCATCTAAAGTCACACTTGGAAGCCTTCAAAGTGAATGAGGACTTTCCTTAATTTTATTATTATTTAAAGGAACTTTAAATTATCAGGAGACAGTATAGAACTAGCTTTGTAAAGGATATCTATGTTTTTTGATATTTTGGTATTTAATATATCTATATGTGATTTCCATGAAATGTTCTCATCAATAAGTATCCCTAGAAATTTAGTTGCTTGGGTTCTCTCTAATTCTTTAGTATCTATATTTAGCAAAAATAAATCGGGAGGTATTTTTATATAGTTAGAATGAAAAAGAATGTATTTGGTTTTTTCTGTGTTTAGCAATAATTTGTTAGATTTTAACCAAATGTTTGATTTTTCAAGTTCAGTATTTGTAGTATCATACAGCTCTGTAATAGATGAGGATCCATAAAATAAATTAGTGTCGTCTGCGAAGATTATGATACCCAATTTACTTTAGGCTTTAGGAAGATCGTTTATGTATATTAAAAACAAAAGAGGTGCAAGAATGGAAACTTGTGGGACATCGCATTTTATTTTGAGTAATTTTGAATATTTTTTTTTATCAGCAATAACGCATTGTCTTCTGTCTAGTAAAAAGTTTTTGAACCATTTTAGCGCAACACCTTTCATCCCATATTTTTCCATTTTCCTAATTAAGACAGCGTGATCTACTGTGTCAAACGCCTTAGATAAATCAACAAAGACTGCAAGGACGTATTATTTGTTTTATTTTATATTATTAAATATATTATTTATAAGATCAAGAATAGCGTGTTTGGTTGAATGTTGTTTCTGGAATCCAAATTGTTTTTCATTTAGGATTTTGTTATTTGTTAGATATTTATACAGTTTATTGTATATTACTATCTGCAGTATGCCAATTCTGGGAAAGATCATTTTTAGTTTCTTTATTATTGGTTGCGATTGGATGTTATGTAATCTTTTGATTTCCCCATAACAATTTTAATAGTCAACCACTATTATAAATTTCTGATTATTCTAGTGAAATAAATCAGTTTCTACGGTTTGAAATAAATGATTTGGTATTTCAATTGATAATATTAATTCCTTTTATTTTTTTTTTGAGTATTCTAGGCTTGTTCCACATGACTTGACTAAATCTTTGATTTGTTTGCTAATGTCAGGCCAAAATACAGTTTTTCATACCCTCACTTTATTCTTTTCAATCTCCATGTGTGCTAGATGTAGTTTTTGTTGCTTTTGTATTGTTGCTATTCTTTTATCCTGCTACCTTTTTTATGTAATTCGCAACTAAATTTAACGTAATATCTTTGAGTGTAGTTGTTTTTATTTTTTTAAGATTTTCTCCTGATGATGAACAGTTTGCAAAGACCATACTTAAGCGATAATTTCATCTTGAGGAATTTCTTTTTCCGTTTCATTGGTATAAGCTCTGGATAACGTATCTACCAGAATCATTTCTTTATTAGCTTTATCAATTAAAATAATATCATACTTTTTTAACCTCATCTTTGTAACATCCTCTGAAGACGCGAAAGTGTGTTTGCTAATGCTGTCTTCATAATATTGTCATACAATTTTCTTTTTTTCCATATATATTGGTGAAATCGTTCACATCCAAAAAATAGAAAGAGAAATTCTTTTTTAATGAATGCCTAGTTTAACTGAGCTGGTGTCATTGATTTTGATGCAAATGTAATTGGTTTTTCATTTTGAGGTAGGACTGCTCCAACACCACGTTTGTATGCGTCTACTTGTAACATCACAGGTTTTGGATGTCAAAAAATGCAAGACATTGTTCAGAACATAGAAGTTTTTTAATTTTATGGAAAAATTGATCTTGTACTTTAATATATAAATCAATAAAATGAAAAACGATAGTATTTTAAAAAGCAAGACTAGTAACAGAAAAAAATAGAAAGAGTGAAAAAGATGAATGAATGAGATGAATGAATGAGGTAACGCATAGAATGAATGAGGTAACACAAAGTTTAATGAAGTATAATAAGAAAAGTAAGTTTAAAGAAGTATGATAAGAAATGATAAAATGAAAAACAAAAAATAAAATAAAAGCATAAAATTAAATATTAAGATAAACGAGCCAAGCAATATGAAATCACTTCGTTTGTGTTATTAAGGTGCTCCCAGAAGTCCATACAGTCTTATCACAGAGCACTGTGGAAGAGTGTTTATCTAGAAAGTTCGTACCTCCATTCTTACCATTGTCGATAAATGGGCTAGCTAGTTGGCGTTGAACCTCGGACCATTTAGTTCTGAGCCAGAACTCTAACCACTGCACCACGGCTGTTTAAATGTTTAAGGATCTTGTGCAACCTCTAAAAATATAACATCGCCATTTTTATCGCAACTTCTGCATAGAATTTATAATAGTTTCTGCAATAAAATGATGTTCACCGATGAGTAATGATAAAATAAAGAACAATGTTTTCAAGTCTTTTAATGTAAACTATTATCCCCTGAGCTCTAAAGAGTGTTTCTAAAGATAATGCCTTTATTTATTTATAAGTTTAAGTATAGTTTGCATTTATAATTTCAATTTAGCCGCCTATACATCTTAAGCATACTATCTTAAATAAGACGAAAAACATTCAACAGCGTATACCATAGCTTCCTACGCCAATAAAAAAAATTTTTTTTTAATACTTTTAACATTAAAATAAAATACTTTAATCATCCAGCAAAAATATGTCCTATGATCACATCATTACTGCCCAGTGATCACATCATAACTGTCCCATAATCACATCATAACTGTCACATAATCACATCATAACTGTCCCATAATCACATCATAACTGTCCTGTGATCATATCATAGCTGTTCTGTTTTTACTCAAAGTTTAGATCAAACTTATAACCTAGTAAAGTTTGTTTAAAATTGGCTTCAATATCTTATTAATAAAATTTTAATTAATAAAAGATTTTTATTGATAAAAGAAAAAAAGAGTTACAAGATAAAGTAACCCTCATATTTTCATATATATATATACATATTTTCATATATATATAAATGTTTATATATTGTCATTTATTATTTCATTATAAATTTTTTAATAGAATGAAACTAAATGTTTTCAAAACATATTAAAATTTAATGCTTTGAATATATAAAATTATAAAAAAATAACTTGAACATTACCTTATTTTGCAATACTTTTTAAACCAGTCTAAAATGTTTTTGCATATATAAATTCTGTTTTTAATAGGAGTTTAAATTACAGATGTTAATTTATTTATCTAGTAATTGGTTTAAACACCCCTCACATTTTCTAATAAGGTCAATTTATTGTTTTTATAAGATCTCTACAATCTCGTCTGGATTCTTGCTAGACTTAAAATAGCTTATTCCTTTAAAAGTAATTAATTTATATTAAAACAAGGTAGAAGTCCGTCATTAAAAAACCATTGAACTATTAAAACACGACAGACAATATTTTTCTTAGAGCAATGGAACCAGTGATTTTTAGTGAAGACAAAACCATTTTCACAATAAAAGTTTCTTTTGAACTTTCAAAAATTTGACCAATCAAGATTATCAGTTTTTAATTCACTGTTATGTTGTTTATTTTTATAACAACTATGTTATAATAAATAATATTCATTACTGCCAATTCAAATGCAAAATTTCTGAGCAACGTTGTTACCAAAAAATGTTTTACTCATATTGTTTACAAAATATTTTTTAAGTGAATTTTTTTTTATATAGAAAAAATCCTTTAACTTTATTATTGAAACTGATCAAAAGCATTTTTAGGTTCTTATCTTTGTGTTGCATTTACAGCTCTATAGTTTAGACTTTTTTATTGCAACATTAGAAATTTTCATTAATAAAACCATATTTTGCATATTATGCGACCAGTTTTGAATTGGTACCTTTAGTTGCAGTTCTAACTAAGTTGAAAACCATTTCGACCAAAATTAACATAATAGTAAACAATTAAAATGTCAATATATTTAACATTAAAGTACAAATACAATACAAAAAATTTAACTTTATTTTTATATTGTTAGCATGAATATTAAAAAGATTGCAAGGTGTCTGTGTAAGTGTATGTTCCGACAAACATTATACACACACATTTATGTACTCATAGTCATATATTAAATGCACACATTTATATAATTATAGTCATACATTAAATACACACATTTATATACTCATAGCCATCCATTAAATGCACACATTTATATACTTATAGTCATACATTAAATGCACACATTTATATACTTATAGTCATACATTAAATGCACACATTTATACACTCATAGTCATACATTAAATGCACACATTTATATACTCATAGTCATACATTAAATGCACACATTTATATACTCATAGTCATACATTAAATGCACACATTTATATACTCATAGTCATACATTAAATGCACACATTTATATACTTATAGTCATACATTAAATGCACACATTTATATGGTGTTCCCCAGGGATCAATCTTAGGGCCCTTATTATTCATACTGTTCATTAATGATTTGTATTTAGCATCCAAAATTCTAAACGTTATTTTGTTTGCTGATGACTCAAATCTTTTTTACTCTAACAGAAATATTAAAGATCTGTTTAGAATTTTTAATGAAGAGTTATTAAAAATAAATGAATGGATTACGAATAATAAACTTTCATTAAATGTTGTAAAACTAAATTTATGTTGTTCCACAAACCTAGTAAAGGTGATAACCTTTTTTTAAAACTACCTGATCTCTTTATGAACAAAAAAGTTATTAAAAGAGAGTCAACTATTAACTTTCTAGGAGTGATATTAGATGAAAATATATCATGGAAATATCATATTAGATCTCCAAAAATATTTCAATGCTATATAAAGTTAAACCTTTTCTTAATACGGAATCTTTAAAAATTATATATTTCTCATTTATTCATAGTTATCTTTCCTATTGTAATCTTGCATGGGCAAGTACCAATTATGGGAAGCTCAAAAAAATTTATAGCAAACAAAAACATGCTTGTAAAATTATTTTTGGCGTTAACAGAACTGTTGATGGTGAATCTCTTTTAAAGAAACTTAATGTGCTTAATATTTACAAACTTAATATATACCAAGTTATGCTATTTACGTTTAAAACAAAACATGCGTTATCTCCTAATATATTCCAGTCTTACTTTACCGAAATATCTCATAAATATCCCACTAAATTTTCATCTGATAATTTTGTTATTCCAAGATCTTATTTAAAACTCAATTCATTTCAAATTCAATACCGGGGACCATTTATATGGAAAGGTTTTTTAAAAAATATAATTAAAATAAAATTCTTCGAGGCATCTCCTTAGAACAATTCAAAAGAGAATCTAAACGTTTTCTATTAGAAAAAACTTTAGATTTTAAAGATTTCTTCTAAAATCACCTAAAATAATTAAACCTGAAAAAGTCATCACTACTCATTTACTATTGTCTTGTGTATCTTGTTTATTTCTTATTAAAATAAAAATATATATACTATTAATTTTGAACAGACAAATAACATTTATTCGATTTATTACTTGTGTCTTATATTTGTCGAACTAATATTGTATTGTACTTCAATTTTTAACCTTTTAGTTTTTAACTTGTAACTTTGTGACGTTAATGTAAACGGGGCTTGGCGATAAGACAGTTTATGTCTTCTTCTTGCTCCGGCCAATTTTTATACATGAATGGTTTTTTCTCATTGTAAATTTAATTATACGGCAAAGAAAATATAATAATAATAATAATAATATATACTCATAGTCATACATTAAATGCACACATTTATATACTTATAGTCATACATTAAATGCACACATTTATATACTTATAGTCATACATTAAATGCACACATTTATATACTCATAGTCATACATTAAATGCTCACATTTATATACTCATAGTCATACATTAAATGCACACGTTTATATACTTATAGTCATACATTAAATGCACACATTTATATACTCATAGTCATACATTAAATGCACACATTTATATACTTATAGTCATACATTAAATGCACACATTTATATACTCATAGTCATACATTAAATGCACACATTTATATACTTATAGTCATACATTAAATGCACACATTAAAGTGGCTCTACCCCTTTTTTTCTAAATTCTTTAAAAATTAAAAAAATGTTTTTGCACTAAGTTTACTGTTGATATATTTAATGAAGAAAAAAATTTGACAAAAAGTTTTTAAAAATGCTGAAAAAAAAAAGCTGTGTCGGCAAAAATTATTTAAAAAGTATCAAATTTTAAACATTAGTTTCTCAAAATCTGTAAATAATATTTGAACCAAATTTTGACAGCATAAAAGTAAAGTAGTAAAGAAGGTTCTGAACTAAAATCAATATTTGAAAATGTACCAATCCATAATGGCTGACAATTATTTTTGAGCATTGAAAAATAAGGTCATTTTAGCAAATCAAAGTGCGATTATACGAGATCCATTTGTTCTAAATAGTTGTTTTCAGTTCAGAACCTAGTTCCAATATTAAAGAAAAGTCTGTGAAAATTTCAAGTCAATCAGTTAAACAGAAGTACTAAAAACTGTTGTTTGAATTTAAGTGAGCGTAACAAAAACTTATTTCTGAGAAAAATGAAAAACAAAATTAAAAATGAAATAAATAGTATACAAACATGAAACTAGTGTGCCCCAGAACTATAAGTTTCACCCTCTGTCTCTTTTTCTTTGTCAAAGAATCCTTTTTTAAATGCACTCATACTTTTCCTCTGTTTTTTCTTTTTTCGCTCATTTTACTATTAACTTGTTTGATACGAGTACTGTCCTTTTTTGTTGCATAAAAAAAAAAGGTATTTCCCAGGAGTCAAATTTAATAGTTTAAATACACGATTAAGTCCTATAACACCTTCATTATAATTTATGATAGCAGAATATACTCCTATCTCTAAAACAGTTCTTGACACAAAACGAGACTTTGGGCACTTATTCCAAATTAATTGGTTTAAAGCTTCATTTGGGTTTTGGGTAAACCCATGCAAACACTTTTTCAGAAGATCTTCAGAGCCAAGATCTTTAAAGATGCCTTCAATTTCTTTTTTTATAGCCAGAGGCAAATTTAAATGTGCTTTGTAGGTATTTGTACCTTCAAGTTTATCTTTTTGCCATTTACACCAGCTCTTTGTTGTTCGAGGGCAAAACAAATGGCGACTTTCAGAATTTATGTCAGAACAATGATATAAAACTGCACCAACTGCACGCCTCATTTGGGGTAGTTCTTTATTCTGCCTTATGGCCATCCCATAAAAGTTTTGTAAAGTGTTAATTGCTAAATCTGTTAACCTACCCCTACCATTAATTTTTTTTCCATCAGAGAGCAATTTACCTTTTAACTCTTTTCTTTTTTCAGGCGTGCCCCAAGGCGCTTTTGAATGTGGCCAATACATTCCCATTTAATGGGAATCAACTCATCCCCATATGGTTTAGACTGTACTACATCATTTAATGAGGCAGTATCTCCATCACCTATGTAGTGTGCGTATCTTAAACCATATTTTTCAACTGATGAGTGAAATATTTCTAGCTCCCGCGGATTCCATTGCTCCGGACGATTTTGAGTGGTTAATATCACAACGGTGATTTGCTTTCCAATGCTCATATTCAAGAGTATTTTTTTTTTCTTCCAGACAGCACAACTCTTACAGAACTTAGACATAACATGAAAATCTAAAACTTTTTTATTGTCTTTGGAGATAGCTGAAACAACACCATTTAAAGAAGAATATCCTCGCTTCTGCCATGTTCTATCTAAGCTGATATCACAATCAACTGGAAGTTGATGTATTGAAGCACCAGTATTTGCAGAAGTTCTAATCTCGTCTGCGGTTTTTTCCTACATTTAGATGAAGCAGAGTCATAAACATTATGTAAAAGACTATTAATGTTTTTATATGAATTAAAAGTCATTGGAGGTGGCATATTCATACATCCAGCAAATGTCTTTAAAGCTTCATGTCCACAACCAATTTCGCGAAAACTCATTACAGCACGTACATTGACTTCTTGAATGTGTTTATTTTTTATTGCAGGAGATGAGTAAAAATTATAACTCCAATCACAAGATATACATTCTAGTTTAATGTTATGCGAAAGTCCTAATTTTTTTATTTGGTCAAGACTGACAGTGATTTTGTCGCCACATTCTAGGCATCTACTCAAAAGTTGAAGACAACTTTGCAGTACTCCAAAGTGAATTATTATAAAGAAGTTAGAATCTTCTTTTTCAACAGTTAAAAGTGAATTATCTAAACTAATTTTTGATGATGAAACAGCTTCCTTTACTATTGGTTTATCAATTTGATTTATTGTAGCACATGTATATCTGTTAGATGAAAATCTTTTTCTGAT